AAAGCTAATGTCTTAGCGAAACATGTTTTGATATATTTTTCAAGTAAAGTTTGTGGAGATCAAATCGTTGAGGTGTAGTTTTTGAAAATACTATGGATCTTCATCAAATAACGGCCGAATCAATCAGAAAAAAAAAGAAAAATAATATTTATGGAACACATGAATGATATGTTGTGAGTGCAAAAAGTGTAATTCACGCCCTAGTGCATAAAGTTGAACTTTATAAACTACACGTAAAACTTTTACGTTATGTATGGCGTAAATAAAATTTTCACTTCTCCAATAAAATTCTAGTTTCGGTTCACAAAAGTATTTTTTTGAAAATCAAAAAAATTTACTTGTATTTGGAAGCCTATCGATTCTTGTTTTTGCACTAATTCGCCTTATACTCAAACTCATTCTTTTTTTAGGACCAACGTTTCTCCAACAATGTTTGCTTTTTTCCATATTCATATCGTCCAGCAACCTTATATTTGTCTTTTGATGTATACTAAGCACAACTTATACTTTACGAACTGAACTAAACCGAAATAAAACAGCAATAATCCAACTGCAAACCTACAAACACACGATTACAACGTATTTTACGTTCCACCACTGTCGAGTTCCTTCTGTACCGATATTGTGTTTATGCGCATATCTCGGCTACTTGCAAGCTCCACCTTTTCCCTTCCTCCCGCCTGACCTTCCACCCCTCAGAAACTGTTCGTGAAGGGCCTGACACTGTTAACGAGCTGTATTTTCAAATGGTTTTCGAATGTTCATGAACCCTAATAAAATAAATCGATTATGGATTCATGCCACCCACCAAAAATAAGAAATTCAACGTTACTGGTATATAAGCCATATTGTCAGCCAGCGCCCACTGTAGTGTATGCGAAAATGTGCTCTTTCTAATGTCGATGGTGTCTACACATAATTTCGTATTTTTGTCAAAATATTTTCAAAATGAATGTTGAGCCTAGTTTTGTTAAAGCTGACTTCGACAACTTACCAAGAATCGATTTTGAAGTGATCGATGAATTTTACTTGAAAAATTTGCAATACTTTGGTACCGAAATGAATATTAAAAGGAAATACATTCAAATGATATTATGTTTTCCTCCACTTATTTTGGCGAAACAAATTGTTTTGACACTGTATATAATTACATCTGTATGTCTTCAGTTTTGCGAAATACAAAAATTATTGGCACTCGGAATATTTCAGTTAGTAATGGTTGGTTTTCATTAAACAGTATGTGAGAAGGAATTATTAGATTTTGTGATGAGAACTTCCAGGAATGGAAGTGAGTTTTTGTTTTCTATCAACTCCCCAGGTAGTAATACCCTGCAAGGGTTTTGTGACTTGACGCCGGGGCCTCAATCTGCCTACTCCTACTCGATGCTTATCTGTGAAAATGTGATCAATTTTGATGTTCAATTTGGATTGAAAATTTTTTAACTTTGTTTTCATAAAATCTGAATTTAGAGCAATCTGTTTCATCATAGTTTACAGCTACTAATTCTAAATCAAACCATTCTTTGTTAATATCTTATCTATTCCTTTCAACCGCGTCAAATTTTCTGTTAGAGAATTGCTGTCTCATCTGCAAATTGCAGTGGCAAAAATTGTTCTAGTTTATATTGAAAGAAAGTAGTCTCATAATTATTTTTTGTGGGATGTCACAGTGAAAAATTATTAGATTTCTTGATAGATCATTTAATTCACCATACAGTTTCCTTTAAGAGTTATAATCCAGAAACTTTCAGCACTGATACTACACATGTAGATTTATTTACTTACAAGTTTGTTGAAATTTTACATTATCAAAAAACTTCCTGTTTGATAATTTTTTTTGTTTAATTCTGTGAAAATCATTTTTATCACATACTAATTATGTAAATAAAGAAATTTGTCGGATGGATGTAAATAAAGTAAATTTTATCAACAAACACATGTAGGTACAAAATAACAAGTGTTTCTGCTTAGTTGATGACAATGAATAATCCAGATTGAGAATATTAAGATGGTGATAGGTATTCAAAAAAGAAAATTATATACTGCTATGAATTCATACTGATAAAATGTTGATTTATTTCAGTGGACACTCATGGGATATATGATTGAAGGTGGTGGCTCCAAGACACTAAGCAAAGCCAAAAAGTGGTTGTACATGCATCCAGAAATATCACATCAACTCTTGAATCTGTTGACAGAGGTTATAATTGATTATTTGGTAATGCAGATAGAGGCTGGAGCACAGATTGTACAACTTTTTGACAGCAATGCGGAATATTTAAATAAAAATTTGTATATCAAATTTGGTTTGCCTTACCTGAAGAAGATATCTGAAGGAATCAGGACAAAACTGAAGACACTGAACGTAGAACTAGTACCCCTGGTCAGTAATAATGCATTTCAGTAAAACAGCTCAAAAATATTTCATTTAGTTTTTGTGATAGATTGACCAAGTAAACACTTTGAGCTCCTACCAGCAAATCAGAAATCAACCAGCTTGGCAGTTTCTGATTGCCTAGAGTTTTTCTACAGTGCACTGAACAATAGAAATAATATTATATGATTTCAGTCGTGCTTTTGATACTATTGACCATAATTTGTTAATCATGAAATTGGAAGGGTTAGAATTTAGGGGTGTTTCGCTTCAATGGGTACCACCATACTCAACAAACAGAACACAGAAGGCAATCAGATTCAAGAATAATAAATACAGCGGTTCCACAGGGTTCAATCTTGGGAACACTATTGTTTATAGCCTTTCTGAGTGACATTGATGACACCTGTACCTCCTCAAATCAAACGAAGATATATGCTGATGACACTAATATTCTGGTGTCGCACAATAACATTGAGCAGTTAACAAATTTAAATAACAAAGCATCTAATGAAATAGAAAGATATAGCCTTGAAAATCTTCTCATCTTGATTAGAACAAAAAAAATTATAATGTCCGATTTTTGTCAAAAAACATAAATCCAAAATATGACCTTTACTTGAACTCATCTGGAAAATTTATGTAATCGATGGAAACCATCAAGTTCTTAGGTGTTACTTTGGAGAGTAAGCTAACATGGAAAGCACACATAAACACTGTATGTTCAAAACTAAGTACTACATGCTAAATAATGAAAAATATGTGATATACTGTATCAGAAGACATCCTGAAAATATCATATTTTCGGATGGTTCATTCTACTCTACAATATGGCGTGATATTTTGGGGGTCCTCTTGTCACTTTGAAAGGCATTCATTTCTCAAAAATGGATAATAAGAACAATGTGTCATGCTCATCCAACTACAACAAGTAAACCTTTATTAAAGAATCTCCAGATACTAATCCTTTTGTGTTTGTATATTCTTGAGTTGATTTTGTACATTAAAAGAAACCAAAATTAAGTAATGAGGAATGAGGACACTCATATGTATGTATAGGTTATCAGTTTGTGAAAATTCACCAAAGCATATTGGTATCAAATGTTTCAGTGAAATAAGAAATATAATGGATGTGAATCTGAATGATATTGTATTCAAAAATAAATTGAGAAATTTCCTTCTTGAAAAAATATTTTATAATATTGAAGAATTTTATAATTCCTGATACCTTACTATTGTGGAACTGACCATTGTATGTATAGTTTTTTGTTCTTTTTGTGACTATACACTATCATAACAATTTATTTGTAGATTACCTCCTTTTTTAGCTAGTCTGACGAGTTTCATACACATGTGTATGTATGATGCCTTGTATAATCTTTGATTGATGGAAGATTCCATTATTGTTATTATCATTATAGTCCCAGTTTAAAAATGACCGAAAGGGCATGATGACTACAAACCCTTTTTCTATCCAATGCTTTGGTGTATCTACTCAGAACAAATATATATCTGTCCATCTATTATGCTAACAACAATATTGTTCATTCCATATATAATAAATTAATTGTTTCAGGTACTATTTTCCAAGGGAGCCCACTTTTGTTTTGAAGACTTGGCTGATTTGGGCTATGATGTCTTGGGAGCTGACTGGACAATGACCCCTCAGTTTGTAAGATCAACTTTGAAAAATAAGAATATCACTGTGCAAGGTAATCTCGATCCGTGTGCCCTTTATTCCCCTAAGGAAGAACTGACAAAAATGGTCACAAATATGATTGAAGCATTTGGAACTGAACGTTACATTGTCAATTTGGGACATGGTATTTATCCCGATGTTCCTGTGAATGCCGTTGAAACACTGATAAAAGCTGTTCATGATGTTCCTATTTAGAATATTTTTGATGATTTGTGCATTTCAATATTATGAATAGATACTTCTTTATATTTTTCAGTAAATATTTTCAACAGGAAAAATGGAGTGGTATCCAAACATTCTAAATATTACCTACTTTTACTGTTATTTCACTTCCATCAAGTAAGGTGGTGAATAACTGAAAAGAGAATGAGAATGAAGAGATATAGATAGAAAGATGAATAGAGACTTCTGAGGGTTGTCGTTCGTAGGGGTTCGACATCTGGTTAACGGAAAAACAGATTTTTAAAATCATAAAACGAAGAGATTGGACGGAACAGCACTCTGAAAATGGAGCGGCAAACCGCGAATACGTGTTTTTGGCTATTGGCCTCATTTGCTTAGTGCAGCCAAGTGCAAAGATAAGCAGCACTTGGTTGCCGAAAACCACACACGCGAACTGAGTTCGCCATAGACCCCTGTTGGCGACTCCGTTTGCTTATGTTGTTTTCCCATTTTTGGCAACCAAGTGTTGCCCATTTCGGCACTTAACTACACAATGCTGATGAGGCCAATAGCCAGAAACACGTGTCCGTGGTTTGCCCCTCCAATTTCTAGAGTGCTATTCCAAATCAAATGTATTCATCACCGAAGTCCATACAAATGTATAATATACATATCATATAAACTTATTGGACTAGTCATAACAGAACCTACAGGCTACAGCAATAAAACAAGATAAGTATATATTAGAAAGAAGTACTGTCTGTTCATAAATGAAAGGAACAATTATTGTACCATCAAAGAACATTAAAATAACAGTACGTTAATGATAGTGATAATATAGAATAATATAATAATGAACATATCAATCAATGAATCAAGAATTCATCTAAAGAATAAAATACTTTTTCTTCCAAATATTTGTGAAGAGCAATCCTGAAGCAATTTAGATTTGAAAATTTGTGAGTTAGGCCAAATAGTTACTTTGACTATTGAAACACCCTATAACTTAATAAATATGACAGTTTTGCTCAATAGTTAGCCTGGAGAAAGGTTGACATACATTTTTACGGTTTCAAGTTGAATACCGGTGAAAAAAACTATTTAATAACATTGGAGCCTCTTGTTTCTTTATATTTTCAGTAATTTGCATTGTACATAGTGTAAGAATTTGTAACAGTGAAGCTGAATGGGCTTTATTTTCTTCTGAGCAATGAATACTTTATCAATATGTGTTGAATTACCCCAGAAGATCAAGCCATATGTGAGTGCCGACGACACTAGACCATGATATGCCATTCTGAGAACCTCTATAGATACAGTGTCCTTCAGTTGTCTGATAATAAAATTTATACTACTCAATTTCCCTACCAGATTTTCGATATGAGTTCTCCATGTCAGTTTCTCATCAATTGTTACACCCAGAAATTTTATGCTTGATACTTACTCAATTGACTTATGATTTATTTTAACAAGAGGACTTGCGTCACTGCTGATATTTTTTTGGCAAAAAACCATGAAGAATGTTTTGGAAGCATTTAAAATCAATCCATTATTCAGGCACCATTGAAAGAATTCCTCAGCGCATACATTGCTCAGATGAATGCTTTTGTCCAGATTATCTTGTGATATCATATGATTTGTATCGTTGGCATAAATTATGGTTTTTTGCGGGGAACCACATGATAAAATCATGTCATTAATAAATATGATAAAAAGCAGTGGACCAAGTATTGAGCCTTGTGGTACACCCATAGAAACATTGGTTGACTTTTATTTGAATGAATTCATCATGACAATCTGACTACTGTTTTGTAAATAGGAAGAAACCCATCTATTCGCTACTCCACGAACTCTAATACGGTTTAATTTTTGAAATAGAAGGTCATGATTAACAGTATCGAATGCTCTACTGAGATCAAAATATAGTGCAATAGGATATTCCTTAGTATTCAAGCTAGAATAAATCATATTACATAATTCGTTCATAGCTGATTCTGTAGATTTTCCAGCCCGAAATCCATGTTGAGATCCTTTCAATAAATTATTATTTTCCAAGAAATTTCTTAGACGGAAATTGAAGCAATAATCGATTATTTTTGCTAGTTGACTTTGTAAGCATACATTCCTGTAGTTGTTGATGTCTTTTTTGGAACCTTTCCTCTTATATATCGGTACTGACTTTGAAACTTTCAGTTTTTCAGGATATTTTCCTGTACTGAATGATTCATTGATTATGTGACATGCTACGCCAATAAACATATTACTGAAGAAGTTTTAAAATCTGAAAAGATGCATAAAGGTAGGTTCAATCCGGAATTGAAACTAGTGAAATCTATAAAAGAGAAATCGGCAGAAAATAACATTGTTTTTACGCGAGCTGATAAAGGCAAATCGGTCATAGCCAAAATAGAAACAAGAATCGATTTATTATCAGATTGAAATAGATATTATTTTTACTGTCGTGTGTCGTTTTCAAAATTGCTTTTTTCATTATTTTGACAGCACTTTCGGCTTGTCCATTAGTGGCAGGATGGTAACGAGCGCCAGTAATATGTTCAACGCTACTGCTTTCGAGAAAATTTCGAAAACTTCCAGACAAAAATGTTGTGGCATTGTCCGTACAAAGTTGAGAGGGCAAACCAAATCTTGCGAACAGTTCCCTAAAAATTTTTATTGTAGTGGTATCCGTAATATTACTCACTTCAAATAATTCAATACACTTTGATGTGGCATCTTGTAGATTAATTTTTTTTTTTTACAAAAACGACCGAAAGAATTGACATTCAGCAGAATTGAGCAAACGCGAAGCAAATGCTATAGGTCTCTCCTTAATTTCACTATAAATGTGACTGATTGTTGCACCGAGTGCAAATTGAGACGCATCATCTGTCAGTTTGATAGTCCGATCACGGTCAAAATTAGCCAAAACCGGAGCTGACATGAGCAATTTTTTTGTTCTTTCGAATGCCATATCGCATTCTTCCGATCCAATCCACTTGGTTTTTTTCTTTAATAAACTGTACAATGGCCTGAGCGTATCTGAAATATTGGGTAGAAATTTGCAGTAAAAGTTTTACATGCCCAAATAAGATTTAAACTCAGTTACATGTTTTGGAATCGGAATGAATTTTATTGATAAAATTAATTTTTCAGAGGTATGAAGTCCCTCTTTATCAATCACATGTTTCCTTCTTCACTTTCAATCCATATTCTCGTAATAATTGTAACAGTTTTTTTTTTGACACCGAGTTGACAACAATAACAACAAAAATGGCGTCTGTCAAATTGAATTATCAGATCTGTAATTGAATAATAAAAACCAATACACTTGGCAACTCCGCTCTAGACACGATCAATTTTATTGGTCAACAGACACGCGGCCAATTTTAATTCTTGCTTTTCGAATTGTTCTTTTTTCTGCAAAAATAAAGAGATCATGGGACCGATTAGGCTTGATAAGTATAATATACCCCTAACTCGATCAGTCTATAAGCAAACCAGTATCATTTTCCATAGCATGAAACAAGCCCATTGCCTCAAAACATCAGACCATATGTTAATAGGGACTGGACAAATCCATAATATGCCAATTTCAATACTTCCAAAGACACTGTTCTTTGTAGCTGTTTAGAAAGCAATTTTCTCGCAAAAACATCGATGTGTTCCTCCCATTTCATCCATAATAATAGATAGAATTCATTTGTTCAATGCTTTTATGATTGATTTTTATCATATAATATCATTGTTCATATCTTGTGTTATAAATGTTATATGTTACTGCATCCCGTGTGTTAGTTTCTGAGACCAGTATATTTGTATCATCAGCATACATAAATACTTCTTTTGCATTAGGACAGTAGTATGCTATGTCATTCATAAAGATGATAAATAAAACGGGACCTGAGATAGATCCTTGTGGTACACTGATATTGATTGTCCTTGGTTGTGACTTACTTTGATTCATGACTACCTGTTTCCTATCTTTGAAGTATGAAACAATTCAATTATTTGCCACATTGTAATTCCAATATGGTACAATTCATCAAGTAAGAGTGTACGATCGATTATTTCTAATGCCCTGCTGAGATCCACGTACATGGTTATCAGGCGTTCTTTCCCATTTGATGCAACGTAGATATTCGTACACAAGTCTGCAATTGCTGTAGTTGTGGATTCATTACTTTTAAAGCCATTTTGATAACTTGATAGGAGCTTCTGGTTTTCTGAAAGTGAATTCAACTTAATATTAACTAAGGCTTCAAACATTTTTGCGAAATGTATACAAAGACATAAATTACGATAGTTTGTAATGTCCTTCCTGCACCCTTTTTTTTTGTAAATTGGAGTTGACTTTTATGTTTTCAACATTTCTGGGTAGATTCCTGCCTTGAAAAATTCATTTATAAAATATGTGACAATGACAATGGAGTACTTATTATTTCTTTCACATATTTTATAGTTTTCCCGGAAAATCCATCTAAGCCTTAAGCCTCTTTACGTATAGTTTTCATAATATAGTCTTTGATAATTAAAGTGTTATGTATTTCTGATCAGTTTTCATTTTTTAGAATGTTTTTGAATCAAATTGCTCTCTGATAGATCATGTACGAACATCACCTCATTTTGCTTATTATCACTGATAAGTACATGGAACTGAATAATCTGAAATGTGTGATCTGATATGTGTTTATCTTTGATTAACATAAATTGTACGGTGAGATTTGAGAACATTACAGCTAGCACTTATAGCTTGGAAGAATATCTTGAAGATAGATTTTGAGTACCTGAACCCTTGAGGTTGAACCGACTGATTTATTTGTTTCGCCTATTAATGTAAATCAATTCTTAACTGCTTTGTAGAATCTTATGTCCTGTCTACATGTAGCGTTAGAATCTATATTGTTCCATTGTTACTGTGAATTTACTGTTTTTTTATTTATTTAAGCTTTGTTAATAAAAATTTTTTTCTTTGACAAAGTACATTTTTGATTGATAGATTGAATAGATTGGCTCCTTATGCTGGAAATCACGACCAAGTTCACGCCCTCAGACCACCAGAGGATGAAATAACGTTCCAGAAGTTCATGTTGTTA